TGATGACCTCTGAACTGTTGACCCCCGACGGCCAGATCATTGAGAGTGAGGCTGCGCATGGTTAGTGTCCTATTAGGTGTGATAGCACGGGACATAGCACTTATTCATAACGTTCCAATAGGAACTGTCACCCGCCACTACCGTGAATACCAAAAGGGCAACGAGACTAGCACCAACCCCGTCGCTTCCATCTTCGCCTGGACCCGAGGACTTTTGCACCGCGCCAAGCTTGACAAGAACGAACCCCTTGCTGCCTTCGCTCGCGACCTCGAGGCTGCCTGCGTTGAGGTCATCGACCAAGACGGCATCATGACCAAGGATTTGGCTCTCGCCATTCACGGAAAGGGAATGCAGAGGGAACACTGGGTTATCACTGATGTTTACATGGATGCTGTTAACGTGCGTTATACCGCCTTTTTTTTCCTTTTTTCAAATTCTCTGACTGACTGGCTTTTATGATGTTTAGGAGAAGCTTAAGAAGAAGCTCGCGTCCAGGGCCTAAATTATTAATTGTTGTACATCTCTGCGATTCTTACTACTCCCCACACCATCCTTTTCTGCTTCATTTACATTTTATCATGCAAAGCGAGGGACGCGATGTATGTTGAATATCTACCCAGTGGACAAATCTTTGCATTGGATTTTACATTTACATAGGGACTAATTTATGGCTTCATCGAATACAGTTTAGTGAGCGAGTGGGTGGTAAAATTAGAATCCGGACTTGAATAAATGTTGTATCTGTATCTCAGTGTCGCACAGGTCATCAGAGATTCGGGTCATTGAACTACCACTTTTTGAGGTAAATAACTGCTAGACATCCTAATGTGCTTGTCTTTCACCATCGTATACCCACATCATTCTCATCTCATGGCTACGACAAGGAGACCGGTCACCCACAGAGCAAATTTATCACTCTATAAGCTATGCTTCCTCACGCAGTTGGTTTCGGTAGAAGAGCATGCATAGTTGACTGTTGGGCTCATCGTTACTGACCTATAGTGTCACTCCCAGCATTAATAAGGAAACAGGACGGAAAGATAAACGTGGTCACCGGTCATGCCTGCGCACTGCGCAGTGTGTATGGAGAATCTCGGGGCCCCAATGCTTGGGGAACATTCGTGTTCCATACGTGTCACTCATGAGCTCATTTCATGGATCCGCACCGTCATCTTTCGGAGAGGGTGATAGGAACCGTTCGAAATGCACTCTCCAATGCCCCTATGCACGCAGGCTGCCCACAAAGTACCCCATCGAATACATTGAATATTGAATAATCATCATGACCACGACGTTGAAACGGAAGCTTTCGTTGCTTGACAGCGAGAGCCAACTCAGTGAGTACTCTCCATTTCATAGGAACGTTCTGTTGAATGCTGCTTCATTGTATCCTCGCCGAAGAAAAAGACGCAGGAATGTAATATGATCCCCCTCCGTTTGTCTGGCATTGTCTTTCATGGAGATGCTATATACCACGATGTAGATGGAAATCCTCCTGAGGAGGTTGGTGAATACATTCCAAGCTCCCCAGGGTCTATGGACCTTCCAGCTCGGTCGATGAGGTGGTCGAACGACTTTGGTGCATACATATATCGCTTGACCTCGCCTGTCAGTTTCAGGTACCGTCGCAACACTGTTGACCTCGGAGATGATTTTCCTAAAGAACCAAATACAAATGGAATATTTTGGGACCATGATGAGCACCCAAATTGTTCCTCCGTCTGCCGTCCCGAAAGACCCCGATGACCTGGAGAACACATGGCCATATGTGGCTTGGTTACTTCCGACACTGAGAAGAGTGAAGACAACAGTGACCGCGTTAGACATTACGATCCACCCTTTCCACTTTGGACTTGTGATATAAATGCGGATATTGCAATCCCAACCAGCGCTAGTCGATATTCCGTGCTCGAGATTCATGAAACAATGATTGACTCCTGTCTTGGAAGACCCTCATAATTTTGCCGGCGATGAATATAAGGTGCAAGGCACTATCGACGAAGTTTACGTGAAGGAAGCATTTTTTTAAAGTTCCTACAAAGGAGACTTCGTATACCGAAACGGAAGTTGAGGAGAAGAGGCTCTGCGTTTGGAGGCGGCAAAGGATCCAGAATGGAAGCAAAGGTCAAACATAGAGTGCGTTTCCTTCATTGCGCAAAAAAGAAGCGATGACTGATTTCTTCTTGGTAGCAGTGATAGGTCTTGTATAGTGACGTTCGCACTGTCAGGACGGACAGTGAGTTCAGGTCTATATCATAAAATTCGATATAAATGTTGCTCGAAATCCGCGGTCCTCACCAGCTCTCTTCCACATTCTCTTCTTGAAATGTCAAACCTTAGCGACCAACTGCCTATCTAACAGCAGACAGAATCAACAGAAAGCAAACCCCGGAGGTGGGTGAGCGTATTACAATCACGGACATCCTGGGGCCTCTAGCTCTAGCAAGTCAGATGAATAGGATTTGAATTTCTTGTTTTACTTGAAACCTCGATCTCTCGTGCAAAAAAAAAAGTAGCTCTTCAACCTAGGCTAAAAGTATACAACATCTCACCTTGTCTGTCATCATTGGACGTTGAGCAGTGACATTGGGTTCTAACGGTTCTCAGATGTTCCTTATAATTTGCGTTGACCACCATTGATTGACTAGAAGGACCCCAACCCCAACCCACAGTAAACAATGGCCCCGGAACGAAAGCGTGCAACACTTGAGAGTGGCCGCCAGAATCATGAACAGAGCAGAACTCACTAGAATTTCCGACTCAGAGTAACTTTGCAAGCTGAGCCTCCTTTTACCTTCTCGTATGGTCGCAGTACCATTGATCACTGGGATAGTGTTTTTTGGGATTCCCAAATGCAAGTACCTAGGTTATTCCTTCATCCCGCAGTTGAAAGGTATTCAAATGACCTTGAAAGCACCTTTCTTTACAAGGCTTGGCTATACAATCTAAACAAGGATGATTGGGGTACAGATATTCGTAGTCGCTTCAAAAGTTACGATCTGCCTTTTAGGCTTTGGACATGCGATGCTAACATTGAGATGCTGAGCCCCACCAAGGCCAGCCGATACCGCCCTCAGCATCGATGAGATGGCAATCGACCCAGAACTATTTTTCCTACCGCGCAGAGATCTCTACCACTAGAACCTCTGACGAAGGTGATTTAGACAAGTGACGGTAGAATTCTAGGCGATATGTGAGGCGTCGAGGTGCAACTCCTTCTCGTCGTCGGAAACTTTGACGAGTATGAATACCATATGCAGGCGACAATAGAAGACTTTGTGTGAAAATGTTTTTCTTTTTTTGCGCCTGGCAAGGAGCTTTCGGACATCGAGAAGGCAATCCGGAATGAAAGCCAATCATATGTTTTATTCCAATTTATTATTCTTGCTAGGAAATTCTGACACGGCTGTGTGGTCTTAAAGGCCTGAAAACCTTAGCCCTAGTAGTCAATTTAGAGACCAGATCTTGGCGCATACGTAGTAAGTACTACAATTTACGGCGCCGTCGTAAATTAATCGAAATATCTAATATATGTGTCAACTGTTGTTGATCATAAGATGAAGGCCTCGTATGGAAACATCAGCACAGCAGCATGGCGCAGCGGTAGCGCGCGGGGCCCATAACCCCGAGGTCACTCGATCGATACGAGTTGCTGCTAGAGCTTCAGGGGCATTCTTTTTCCGTAAAACTTTTAGGTACGGAACCTATTACAGTATTTGACCGGCAATCTGTACACCATGGGTCAATTGTACAATCCTGTTTTTTCTGTTCATTTGACTACCTCTCTGCATGTCAAAGGCTATATACTATGTACATAGGATACCGCTATGCGTACTTGGTATTTTCACCTAAAATTTTGGAGACTGTCGGTAGCAAATTGGAAAAGATTCCAAAAGGGGGTTTTCATCAAAAAATGATTTTGGACCTTGAGACAGATATCCTGGTGATTTTTCTCAAAAAACATTGCCAGCACAGAGCTTGAGACATGTTTTAATCACAGAAAGACTTTAAACTTGTGGTTTGACTAAGATCCGCAGGTAATAAGCATTTCTAGAAAAAAGGAGGATGAATGGGTGTCACACAAAGCACAGCATCACATACATAACGTGTGTCACATTTTGCATTGAGCACGAAGGACAGCACGAAACAGCACGAAACATGTTGAATTTAACATCTAACACATCTTCACTTTCACCAAGTAGTTGATCCCCTTTCAGACAACCCAAATCTTCTAGGTTGGGCACGGCCTTTATCAAATTAGTAGTGGCTCGATGGGTCACATGACAATGTATGTAAAGTGCAAAATGGGCCGTCCGCGGATCAAATCATTCGTGTTGCACGATTTCTTCATGCCACCTCATGAAACTTGACATGAACAACATTCATATATCGTATTTTGTCTTAGAAACTCAAATAATACTTCAAAATAATTGTGGATGGTAATAAACCAAAAGTTTGATTTTGGTGTACAGATTGCCGGTCAAATACTGTAGCATCGAAGCTTGTCTTTACTCCCGTAAGAAATCTGGCGCAATCTGGCTGCTTCAAAATTTCGGAGCTCGGAGTCAGAACCAATTTAGAGCAGTTTAGAGTGACACTTTCAACCCGTAGAATAAATGTTGATGAACTATTTTACAGTTGTTGTGACATCGGTTACTACCGGCATCAGGTCGGCATGTATCAGGCATTTGCAATACCTTCCACATATGGCTTGAAAAGTGTCTAAAAATATCTGAAGACGTTTGGAAACATTTGGGGAGGGGTCCGGAGGCCTCTTCAGATTTGCCAGTTTGAAGCAGTCTGAAGCATGCGTTGAATTTGTCAAATTGCATGATCTGGGTCCGGCATCTCGGCTCGGACCAGTTTGAAGTAATTTACCGTCATCAGATTGCTCTAAATTCCTTACGGGAAGTCATCCAGTGATTTAGAAATTTTGTCATACACATTTTATAGTAGTATGAACATACAAAAAGAAGGTTTCAAACGAGAAAAAAATGAACCGGCAGCAACTCGTTTCGATCGAGTAACCTCCGGGTTAGAGCCTCGCGCGCTGCCACTGGGCCATGCAGCTATATAACATTTTTGGGCTGTAAGCCCTGGTGCTATATCAGAACCCAGTGGAGGTCCATTTACTTATGTGCTTTTGCTGCTTTTTTCACTTTTCCGGGATTCACTGCAGGTGGAAAAGTAAAAATGGAAACAGCTAATTACTTGATTGAATATGCAAGTGAGAGATATAATGTCCACCTTGTCAAAACAGGTAGAGGAGATAGGATCCATGGGCAGGGAAGGCCAAGCGGCATGCCTTTCGGTGGCAGCTTTTCGGGATTCTAGGCTAGAACTCCAAAAATAGCGCTTTTTTGTGCCTTTTTCGGCTCACTTTCTATAGGTGTGGGCCAAATACGATATAACTGAGTTTGAAAATATAATCATGTACAAACAAAGTAACTCGGCCAAATAATGCGGCTACTTCGACATGTTCTGGGGCGCGAAAGTCCGGAACCAGAGCATAAATCAGTGAGATGAGCCTGATTCCCGAACATGGGGTAAATTTTAGAATATCTGACCTTTTCCTTAGCTCGGGAGGCCACTCAATGAACACCACTGTACAAGGAAACTCATTAGGTCAGCGCAGTCAGGTGATGAACTGGCCCTTTTGCATACATTCTTTCGAAGATTGGAAGGCATCTGGAGAGCTTGAAAAATAAGATAAAATTTTTAATCTGGGTAACATTTAAAGAGAATGGGGAGGGCGCACAAAGCGCGCTAGAAAAATAAATAATCCTGGTCATTTGAGGTAGATAAATCAAAAATCCACCCTGTTCTCCTCCCCACCGGGCCCACCCTGGAGTATTTGAAAGGCATCTATGCAATTCACAGTTCTTGGTGCATATGCATATTGAGAGGGCCGCGTGAAGCGCAGTAGGAAAAAATAATGTGCTACTCAGACCTACCCAAATCAAGGACCAGATCAATTTTGTACCCAAATGCGCAAAGCGCGCCTCAAAAAAATGGACTGCTTTCGGCCCCTGCAGTTTCATCAAATCACGGCATGCTAGATGACCTTCACCTATATAGACACTGCGTGATTTATTTATTTCTTCCCTCCCTTCTTCAATTTAATTAATTTAATTTAATTTAATATTAGGTGGGCCCACACCTATAGAAAGTGAGCCCCTTTTTCTTTCACTTTTTTCGCTTGCAAAACCTAAAAAAAGGTAATGGACAAAGTACCGATGCAGTTGGCTATGGAGTGAGCACCTACGCTTTCGTAATTCGTTCATCTCGACTTCCAGTTCGAGGACTCTGGGCAAAAGAAAGATGGATTCGTACGACGTACACAAAAAATACACAGGAATGAAATGAGATGCAAGGAAATCGGATAACTGTGCTATCGTGCTTGTGGTATATCTACATTGTGTAGGTTCCTGAACCGTCCATTGTGGGCTATGCAAAAGAACTGAAAAACAAAAGAAAAAGCTTAGGTCAGTAGGTCATAAGGCTGCATCAAGTGAGAATGAATTGTTAAGGCTGAAGATTCATCAAGCTGGACGATTCATTACTAATCGTCATCGCTACAATGTACTAGTGAGTAAAGCAGAAGACGAATTATTGATGTGATGGAACGCTCACTCTGGACTTGAGCTCTCTTTGTTGTCGGAGGCTGTTCTCTTCCTCCTCTTTCTTTCTGTCACACGGATATTCAATCGTACTCCCCATAAGGACAAGCGCTACGCAGGTATGTAAAATGCGCAACGGAGAAACTTGTAAGCATAATCTAACCTTTGTTAATTCTGTAGATGCAGATAATCCTGGAAATTCCTTAGTCGAGTAAACGCGGAACATGCCACCATAGCACTCGGCAGAAATGGCCAGATCATTGCTGTCGCTGTATGGCCGTGCAAAGATATCGAAAGCTCGATAACGGAGAATAAAATGGCCTTCAATTTTCACAGCCAAGTCCTAATAACACGGAGGTGAGCCCAACTAGTCGACGTCCACGAGAAAGGGTGACAAACCGCGAATACAAAAATAATTGATTTGCTGCCTTGGTAATCCATTACCACAGGCTGCACAAAAGTTGCCCCAACAAGCGCCTGAGTTTGCTTGGAGGACTCTGTGATGGGAGCGCCATTCTCCAAATGGTGCACGATGTCAACTGTTTCCTCAGATGGAAGTGCGTATCCAGAAAAATGGCTAGGGATGCGGGAACCTGACGCGGTCGACGAAAATGGTAATTTGTAATGTCTATAACCATGCGCACTGCCCGGACTCTGTATGAGCGGCGAGGAAGGTGACGGAGAAGGATAGAAGGCGGTCTGGGTTGGGGGAGCAGATGACGCAGTGGGTGAAAGATCGTGATTTGTCCTGGTTACGGAACCCGGCTCAGGTACCGGAAACAAATCCACTGTACAGAGCAACCCGAGGACTTGGACATCGCTAGTGAGAGAAAAAGGAGAATATAAATATGTTAGATGAGATCACGGCAAAGCAAAGCGCAGTGGCGCAGTTACCACTGTCAGAATTAATAGGCGCTAGAAAGCATGCACTCAACTCGTATTCCATTTCCTTTTCCACTTCTGCTTCTGAGCCAGGGTTATGTATTTCGAACATTCTGAGGTGAACAACAGGGGGAGGGTCAAGCGGCCGGCGGTCGACTCTCGCATATCTATCAAGTTGAAGGAACGGAGTTCATAAACAGAGACTTACATCGGCCGAAGGATGAAAAATACTGACTTTCTACCTAGATTCGCCTTCTGTATCTCTTGCAGTTCCATTCGAACAGTACGTCCTTGGAACGGACCCGACGAAAAGTATATAGGTTTGCCAATGAGCTGTGCGCCTCGTTTAGGTTGGAGGACCGGCGGTGAACTCGACTCTCCAGCAGCATGGACATATGTTGCCTGTTGTCGATAAGGAGGTGTCACCTGCGGTTGGGAAGACGATGAGAGAGGCTGGGTAAGAAGACTGTACGTGGAATACATCCCGATTGAAAGGATCTGAAAAGCGAGCAATAGGCGGGTTTGGCACTGAAAGAAATGGCTCCAGTCGTCGTCTATTTTAACACCCAGAGACACGTTGTTGTTGTACTCTGTATCAGGAAAGAAAGGTAGGCCATACTGCAAAGAACTGTGTGATCCACAAAAACAAACTCACAGTTCACAGTCTGCACCTTGCACATCTCCCAAACAACTTGGCAGATGAATTGACCGGGGAGCGATGGGAAAGCTGAATTCCCGGACAAGGGCGCCAGGCTCCCAATTTATCGGATATCGACTCTCCTCGTGTTCCGGTTGTTCGGCTGATCACTGACTTCCTGATGTGGATGGTCGAGCCACGAAATCGGGCTAAGCGGTCTACTTAGGAACGCGAGGTTGGCGGCTATTGGCGGATTGTCGATGGTAAACAACCTTGTCGACGGTCTGAAAACTCAAAGCTAGGGTAGCAAGGTCTTGCTCCACTTTTTTAGGCGCTTTATATCTCGAGCCTAGTTGACATAAGGCTCGTTTCGTAAATCGAGCAAGCTGATTAAAGGAACCGAACTTAGGTTGCAGCCGGGAGTAAGAAACTTGCTTCTTGAAACCAAACGACCCTTTAAAGTTACTTCGACATTTGCAATCGACAAGGATAAGGGGATAAAAATGTACCTTGTCCTGTTAATTACGTTACAGATCTTGGGCCAGATTGAATACACAAATCCACTTATGGTCTCTGAAAACCATCCCCCTCCGCACTCAATCTTCACTGAGCGAGGAATTTTAATACGTACCATTGGTTTGCAAAATATCCCACCAGGAAATTGTTTGAATCGTGAAGTGCCAAGCTCTAGATAAAAGCCAACAGGAAGATGGGCGGGACAGATCTTCTGCTTCAAGTAACCCACCACTCCCAAGTCCACATGAGAGGGGTAAATAATTCAGTTAATCACAGTCTCAAAGCTTTGATGTATTCACACGAAATCACCCACAGAAACGTCGGAAAAGTCCCATCCATACTGCGTGTCCTGTGAATGTGACTAGCTTATTTGACACAGAATGGGAGAAATACGCCGTAGAACAAAGCTCCACATTGTTAGGCATGCCAGGATGGTACCCAGAACACGCTGAGACAGACAAGTGATGGAGTACTGGCAGGTACGGCTAGTCTGGAAATATTCCTGTCGACATGCCTGCCAGTGTCAATGGAGTCAGCGCCGTTCAATGTCACTGATATTTCAAGGGACCGACATCATTTATAATTCATGGCAGATGCCGGGCAGAGACATGTAATAATCAGGTCTATGGTATATAAAAAGGATTTTTGCCCCTTTGGTAGAAATTTCCAAGGCGTCACAGAGCCGCCGGTATAGGCGCGGTCGCGAGTTAACGGGTGGTGCTTGAAATTTTGGTAACTTGCATGGCAAACCAGAATGTGAGATAGAAAAGGTTGGAGACACCGTGAAGGATGTATCAGAAGCACACGGGTGGAATTCAACTCTGCGAAATGCAAGCGAAGATCACCTAACTAAGCAACTCCGTGTGCATAGTGAAGGTTCCTTGACTGGTGCCAGGTAGGCAAGTTCAAGTTCAAAAAAGGGAGTGGTCTCGTCACAGCGTTTATATTTATTAGGACGATTCGACGGTTTTAACACACTGCCGTTGATGAGGAAAAACAGTGGCACGGGTTGGTAGGGTTTGAACAAAGAAATAAGCTTGCTCTGCGTGAATACGGGGACTGCGTCTAGTGGTGATGTTATCAGACAGTTTGCAAACAAAAAAAATCACTACATACCGGGAAAAGGATGGACCCGAGAGCAACGTATCCTCCTACTTTATTCACCACTTTCCATTCGAAAGGGGAGATAATTAAACAGACTCTTGATTGTTTTTTCATTCCCGAGTTCCAAGAACCACGGATCGATGACAATGTGAAGCAAGTCAAAGCAAACTAATTAGAGCGTGTTTCATGCATAAGGGTTAGTTATAAAATGAGGAAAGGGACTGTCCCATATTCGAAAGGTGCGCATGCACGGTGAAGAGAAGAGAGGGCATTGTGATCACCGCTCAGAGCGTCCTGATTATCTTCTCTATC